AAGGTAGAGCGCCATGGTAGAGAGAGAGAGTGTCGCATACCGTATCAGTGCAGACCAGAACAAGAACCGACCTCTCTCACAAAGTACAAGATAGCGTAGCGGAAGACTAAGATACCAATGATCCAAACAATCAATGTTGCAATGCAGCCCCAAACATACATCATCATCATTCCATGGTGTGAAGGGGCCTGGCCCTCACACAGGAAGAATACGCCAGTCCCCAACCATACACAGACGAAGAAGAGGGGGGTTGGACGAAGAAGAGGGGAAGATGGGAATGTCGTCAACACCAAGTCTTCGGCACATGCCCCAAATAATCCCTCGTCAAATGTCTGAATCCCAATGTCGAGTCTGGACCCAATGTCGTCAAGTCACGACTCTCTCTCTCTTAGTCCGCAGATACTGAGAAGTCAGGTAGCGAGAGGGTGAAGAAGAGATGGTGGACTTAGGAAGAGGAAGAAGAAGAACTCTCTCTCTCTCTCTCACTCCGGTGGTACTAACCTGTGAAGGTGGCGCCTTGTTGCAGGTACATCGAAGACGAAGCTGGAGCTATGGCGCCACAGGTAAGTCTCCCTGGCCTCCGCCAACCATCTCGTGCTAGCCCCCGAGGAAGCTTCCGGGTAGTTTCCAGGTAGCTTCTGGCTAAAGACTGAGGGCCTACAGGCCCTTGTTTTCAGGCTGTCAGGCTGAACCGACACAGGGCCTGTAGGCCCTCGTTTTCAGGCTGTCAGTCTGACACGACACAGGGCCTGTAGGCCCTTGCTTTCAGGCTGTCAGGCTGAAACTACACAGGGCCTGTAGGCCCTTATTTTCAGGCTGTCAGGCTGAACCGACACGGCGCCTGTAAGCCCTCGTTTTCAGGCTTTTAGGCTGAAAACGACACAGGGCCTGTAGGCCCTCGTTTTCAGGCTTTTAGGCTGAGAACGCTGGTCGGACCCTGCAGGCCCATGTGGCTGCACAGTATGCCACCCCCCCCCCTCCTTGAAAGACCGAGCTTACCTGCAAGGGCGAAGCTGTCTGTCTGAGGGAGGGACCAAAGTCCGGGTGGGAGGGGCAGGTAGTGAAGCTTCCCTACCTAACCTTTGTCGCTCGTAGTGAGCGTGGATCAGCGGTGTGGATGTTTTCAAATCTGCTCCTGAAATCCATCGAGTGTCGTCGGGATCGCATGCTTTGAAGGTAACTTTGTACTGTCGAGGCTTGCTGCCGTACTTGCGATCCGTGATGACACGGTCAACTTCCTGATGACCATCCATAGATGGAGGGTCTTGCGATCGTCGGCCCCGGAAGTCGTCGCTCTTAGCTGGTGTATATGTCGCCAGCTTTGAGGCGTGAAAGAATGGATGGACCGTCAGATGCGGGGGGATGTTGATCACAAATGAGGGGCGATCAGGCTCATCGCCCGCGGCTGATGTTACGGGCCATGGTCCAAACCACTTGGGGAGTAGTTTGCGCGAAACATCCTACTCGAGTGCAAACTCTTTCGTGGAGACCCAAACCAGATCACCGGCGCGGATGGGACATGGCACGCGACGCCTGTTGGCTTGCTGCTGCATGCGGACTTGAGCCTTTTGCATGTTCGCGCGGGCTTGAGCCAACAATTCCCTGTACTTCCAGACGGAAACGGGAGAGCAAGCGGCGTCTATGTCGGTTGTTCGTGGAAGGAGAAGATCAGCGAAGATACGGCCTTTCCGGCCACCGTGGTGCAACTCGAAAGGAGTCACACCGATCGCCGGATGCAACGAAGTGTTAAAGGCGAACTCGATGTCGGGGAGGCGGTCAACCCAATCCTTCTGATCCGGACGGATGAGCGTACGAAACATCATTTGAGCGGTTTGATGTGCCCGCTCTGTTTGCCCGTCCGTTTGTGGATGCCGAGATGCACTTGGTTTCATCTTGGTGTCGGATTCCTGCATGAGAGAAGTCCAGAATGCCAACATGAAACGAGTGTCGCGGTCGCTGACGATGTCTTCCGGAACGCCGTGGCTGCAAATCCAGCCGGTGTGCAAGAGGTGCGCAAGTTCGGGAGCCGTGGCATAGTACTTGCAAGGGAGAAATCACGCGTATTTACTCAATCGGTCAACGACCATGAGGATGCCGTCGTGCCCGAGGCGGTCGCGGGGAAACAAACCGGTGACGTCCATAGCAATGGAGAGGCCGGGTTCGTGTGGAATAGGCATCAGACGCAACTCGCCGTAGGGATTGCGGTTGCGGGGCTTGCTTCGTTGGCAAACTTCGCAAGAGTCGCAATATCGAGTGACATCGGTAATGAGGTCGGGCCACCGGAATCGTTGCCGAAGTCATGCAATAGTGCGATTTACTCCGAAATGGCCGGCGAGTCGCGAGTCATGGTACTCACCGAGAAGATGAGTCCGAAGACACTAGTCTCGTGGGACACACAATAAGTCCTTGCCTCGTGAGTGGAGGAGCAAGTACCCGTCGACGATGCGATAGTGGCTGGCCGGCGGGTGATCCAAAGATAGTTGTGCATACAACGTGGCAAAATCTGGATCGGACTCATAGCCCCTGATGAAGTGTCGTTGGAGTTCCTCGTCGAACGTGAAGGCATGATGTGTCATAGCGCAAAGATCGGGTCTTCGCGAGAGTGCATCTGCTGCGCGATTGGAGAGGCCGGCAAGATGTTTCGGTGTGAAGTCAATTTGGTCGATGAAGTACATCCATCGTCCGATCGTGCTGCTCACCGTATCCTGCGTCTTGTAGTAGGTCAACAGGTTGTTGTCCATGACCCATGTGAACCTACGACGCCCAAGGAGGAAGTCTCGCCATCGCTTGAGAGCCATCACGAACGTGAGCAACTCCTTCTTCCTTGCATCATCAAGTGAATTGATGGGAGGCACTTTGTGGCTAAAATACTCCACGGGGTACCAGTCGTACCATCGTGTTGTTCCAAGACTGGCCCAATTCCATAGCCGAAAGCGTCAGTTGTCACTCTCGTTGGCAGGGTGGGGTCATAGATGCTAAGGACGGGTGCCATGAGCATGGCCGTCTTGAGTGCTTGGAATGACCGACGGGCATCGTCATCGAATACGATGGCACCTTTGGCGATTGTAATCTCGTCATATGTGCGGCAATCCTTGAGTACCCGAAGATGAAGCGTTGATAGTAGCCCGCCAACCCCATGAATGAGCGAACGTCCGTGGTGTTGGTGGGCTCGGGCCATACGCGGATGGCCTCAATCTTGTCCGCGAGCGAACGGATGCCTTGCGGCGTCACATAATGTCCCAAGTACTCCATCTCTTGTCGTGCAAATTCGCATTTGTCGCGGTTGGCTTTGTACTTGGCTTGTTGTAGTCGCTCCAAAACGGTGCACAGGTGTTCCACATGCTCGTCCAAACTCCGGATGTACACCAAGATGTCGTCGAGGTAGATGAGTACGAATCTATCCAGCATGTGTCGGAACTCCGCTGTCATGGCCGCTTGGAATGTGGCTGGGGCATTCGTAAAGCCAAAACGCATAACCAACCATTCGAAATGCCCATATCGCGTCTTAAACGCCGTCTTGTAGCGGTCCTCCTGCCGGATCTCGAGTTGGTGATATCCCGATTTGAGGTCAAGATTGGAGAAGAACTTGGCGCCGCCCAACCATTCGAGGAGGTCGTCGATGCGCGGGAGAGGGCCGACGTTCTTGACGGTTTGCGCGTTGAGCTTGCGATAATCGATGCACAACCGCAAGTCCTTGTTCTTCTTCCGGACGAAGAGAACGGAAGCGCCGTAGGGCGAAGAGCTAGGCCAAATCCAACCTTTCTCAAGAAGGTCGTTGAGTTGTGCCCGTAGCACAACTCTTTCTCGCTCATGCGGTAGATGCAACCACGCGGAGGTATAGCCCCGGCCTCGAGGATGATCTCGTGGCGGATGGGCCGATCCGGTACTACTCCGTGCGGGGCTTCGAACACGTCGCCGTAGGCGTCGAGAAGCTCGGTGATGCGTGGGTCCGATGATGAGTCCGTCGATGAGTCCGTCGATGGAATGTCATGGGGCAGGAGGGCGTGAAGAAAACACACCCCCATCTCCTCGATGTCATCCCTGATGATGGAAGCTCGAACGCTTGCGGCGGACACCATGTGGCAGCTGATCGAAGGGTGAGGAGGAGGCACCGTGCATGGGACTAGTACTCCGTTCCGATCACGAACGTGAACGGTGCAGTGATAGAAGTTCACCGGGTGATCCTCGCTTCGCAGCCATGACATGCCCAAGATCATGTCGAACTTGCTGTCCAAAATATCGAAGGACATGGCCTCGCTTGCATGTGGGGCAAAGTACACGGGGACGACATCGATGCACCAATCATTTGACTTGTGTGTGTGACCGTCGGCCAACGTGACTTGCGTGGGCTGCGACTTCCTCCGAACGCATGGGCCCAAGGCCAGCATGTACCATAAAGTCTCATGTAGTTGCGAGTAGCTCCGCAATCGATCAAAGCGCTGCAAATCGCCTCTCTAATCTGAATGCGTATGTACAACAATGGCGCGTCGATGTCGTCGTACCGCTGTGTCTTGAACTCGCGGTCAGTCTTCAGAAGGTAGTCGCGAAGGTTGACAACCTCTACTCCGGCGTCCATCAACGGAGCTAATACTGCAGTGTGCAAGTAATCCCGCAATTGTGCCATGAGCACGTTGCAATGCGGTTTCGACAATCGACCGTAAGGAGGAAGGGGCATCCATTGGAAGTCGCAAACGCCAATGGGTCGAGCTCTTCAAGTCTTGACCATGACGTCGAATCCCCGACGATAGTAGGCGGCGAAGCTGCCAAATCGGTTGCCGATGGTGGTGAAACCGTGCATGCGGTGGATTGTTGCACGTGGAGTGGTTGGTCCAATGGTGGGACCAAGTGGACAACGTAATCCTCGTAAGTGAACCGAGGACTCGCGACATTCGCATCCTCCCCAGATGTGTAGGAGGCCGCTAGCAAGGCGGCCGAATCTGGCGGAGTGAGAGGTGGAGTCGCCTCACCTCCCGCGCAACTCAGTTTCCCGAGTTGATGTGAGGCCGAACATCCTCCTTGCCTTGATCCTGGCAGTGGGAGGTCTTGTGCTTGGTGCTATTGCACCAATAGCAACAGCCGTATCGGCCGCGGTACTTGTATTCGGCCTCAATCAAGTTGAACTTGACCCATGGTGCTGGCTGTCCGTTTCCTGCCGGCGATGCTGTTTTCGCCTTCCCTTTGTTACGGGAGTTGTTGTTGCTTCACGGCTGGACGGCGGTCAGCTGATCTCCCTCACGTGATGCTTGGGTGGCTGCCGGGTCTTCCACAATGTTGTTCGGTTGGACTGCAGCGACATGCTGCGGACGCGGACCAAATTTTCCTTTCTCCACATAGGTTGGCTGCCACGCTGACTTCTCGTGTGCAGCTGCCCTATTGGTCTTGATGATCTCCCTTGCCTTGTTGATGATTTCGGCGAAGGTTGTGTATTGCTCGCGATCACCAAGTGCGAGGCTCAAGGCGGCACATGACCGGTTGTAGAACTCCCGGCGCAGATGCGAAAATGGCAACTCAAGATCGGGCGTTGCAGCGATCTTTTGCCATTCCGTGAGCCAGTCGCGCGTCGATGTGTTGCCTTGGGTCATGCTGAAGAGTCGGTTGATGGCGAGCGCCGAGGCGTCGTCCACGATGAACCGCTTCTTCCATAGCCTCGTCAACTCTTCCCAAGAGATGTTCTCATGTAGATCGGTGACCTGGACGCCGTGGATGGACGCCAGGTGGCTGAGCCAGATCTAGCATCTGCCTTTTGAGTTAAGGAACAACACGCTGATGTACGAGTGCTCGGGGACAAAAAGAATCCGAAGTTCCGTCGTAAAGCCCTCCCACCAAGGGACCGGGTTTTGATGCGTATGATCATCGAACTTTTCGATGCGGAATGTCGACATCTTGTAGTGCTGCACACTGGTGTTGCTATCCTTGTTGGGCAGCTGGTGCAGTTGCTGAACCTCGGTCTTCAAGGTGTCCAGCTGCTTGCTGATGGTGGCTGGTGGAGTGAAGGTGCTGATGTCGTCGAGCATTGTGACTACGTGGTCAACTCATTCCTCCATTTGGCGGGTAGAGGGTGCATTGCTGGACTCGCCAGCATCTGGTCTTAGTGCCACTTGCTCCAAGTCCTGTACACGGGAATCAAGTGCCCGTGTAGCATCCTCGTGCAGATCCTTGTGGTTCCACACTGCCCGTCGGAGAATCGCCAGCTCGGACTGCAGGTGGTTACAAGTGTAAACCAACCGGGTCACGAGTTTGGCAAGGAGCTCCTTGTGCTGCTCTTCCGGTGTCGCTTCTTCGTGGTGCTCGGATGGTTCAAAATGCCAGAGCTTGAGCTTTTCGATGCTGGTGGCTTCATGCCGCTGTAGCAGATCCTGGGCCTCCTTGCGGCGTACCTGGGTATCTGCGTCTGCTTCGGCCTGAAGCTGCTGTTTTTCAGCTGCTGCCGCCGCTTCGGCTGCCGCCTGACGCTGTTCCTCAGCCTCGATCAGTGCGAGCTGAGCTTCGAACCGCTGTCGGTACTCGGCAATGGACTCATTGGCCA